GAAGAGGTTTAAGTCTTTTTATATATTATCATACTGCAGGCACTGTGGAAACACAGCTGATTGCTACTTCTTACATATGTTATCTCATGCTAAGAACCCCCCAACATTTTCAAAAAGGTTACTTCCTCACTTACAAATCTCAGAAAAGTTTATCTGGGCCTGCTACATAACAGGTCTGAATTGCAATGTACTCTCCCTTGAGTTTTATTTGTGGGGTTTTTTGAACACTTTTTAATTGCTGTAAAATGATTTCTGCCTCATGCCTCTTCCCTTCTGATGTCCAGACCAAGTTGTCCTAAAGTCGACTGAGCATCATTATTGTAGGTACTTAGAATTACATAATATTTCATCAGGGGATGAAGCATTGAATACCTCTTACAGAAGTTAATGGAACAAAATCTGTTTAATTAAATTGTAACTTTGAGAATTCAGCAGAAATCAGGTTGTAAACAGAATGCTGCTTCTAGCCACTTTCATAAAACAGGCTGCTAAGTGCACTGTTATTCCTGGACCTCCTCCTAAAGCTTTGCATTGACTTAAATAGGCCAGACCAGTACGTGCTGCTTTGTTATCAGTCCGTACGGAGTAATTTTTGTTAAGAAGCTAGCTCCTAAAGTACCTGTAAGGCAGTCCCCCTTCCTGTGCTTCAGTAATGCTAAACCAGCTGCTTTGCCTCCCAGCTGAATGCGTGTTGACGAGGACCCTCGTCATAACAATAATACCTGCTGCATCTGACTCACTACAGCTCCTGCTGGGAGAAGTAATAAAATGTACATTTCTCTGTGCCAGCAAGAACTGCCACAGTACAAGGAGGATTCACTTCCAAGTTCAGATTTTCTAGTTGTAATTTTCCTCCCTCGCTCTTTTTGTATTTTTTGAGTACTGTGGGAGAATAACTGCAGATTATGGCATCTGAGGAGACTACTTGCAGAAGCTGAAAAAGTCTGAGATCTATATTCGTGCTTTCAGGAGTATTTCTTGATGGGAGTGATGTATTCTCTGCACCATGGGAAGGAGAAAACAAAGCTGAGTACATCTAGCTGCATGGCATAAATGAGAGCTTGTGAACAAACCCCTGGCTGCAGCATGCTTTTGCCCGAACGTTCAGCATACAGACACTGACAGTCTTGGTAGAAATCACTGTGGGGGTAAATTATCTGAAACATTATAATTTACCTTACAGCTGCAGCTTTGCATCTTGAAACGTTGACGTTTCACCTGTGATTTATTAATGAATTATGGAAACTCTTTTCCTTAGGCATTAGGCCATCAGACTGTGTATGGAGTCTGTCAGCAAATAATGTTACTAAACACCCATGTAGTATTTTAGACACTCTAAAAAGAAATAGCTGTACATACAAAAATAGATATACAGCTCTTTTTCAAATTAGTAACATATAGTAACCAGCTAGGTACTGTCCTGGGCAACCGGCTCTAGGTGGCCCTGCTTGACTAAGGGGGTTGGACGAGATGACCTCCAGAGGTCCCTTCCAACCTCAACCAGTCTGTGATTCTGTGATATGTTAATTGTCTTTCTTCAACTCATTCGTATTACACAATGATGTCCGTCAAAATTATTCACCTGTCATGGTCAACAAAGGTCACTGTTTTAAAAGATTTCTTCAATAAATATCCTAAAGGAGCTTTTCGAATACTTATAAATAAGTTCTGCACCTTCGTCATCTTCTGTACTGAGTGATATTTTGTCCAACTAAGGAAATCTACAGAAGATCTTATAAGGACATCTTAAGGATGACATTGTTAGATTCAGGAGAATCACTGTATGTTAAAATGTAATCAGATGTACAGATAATAGTAGGCACTGAAAGGAAAGATTTTATAAAACCATTTCAATTACGTATCATGTACAAAGGATTGAACAAGAAGCTATATTCCACTCCGGGAGGATTTAAATGCCACCTTATTTGTTTTGAGAACAAAGAGATTTTCAGTTTATCTGTTCTGTGTACATAGAATAGGCAGCAGAATGGATTCATTGTGCACAAATCATGGCTAAGGTGGTGCTGAGAACAGCATAGATAAAGGGGTTAGTGTGGCTACAGGCAAACGATTATTTATGGACTTCAGTGTGCTTTTTGTGCATTGCTAGAATGAGCAATGATTAGATCTGAACCCTACAAAGAGTTTAAGGGGCTTGGTGGAACAGGTGTGGTTAATCTGTGTTTGGTTGTTAAACTGACTTAATAATAAGAAAGTTATGTAGGTGTATATTTTATCCTTCTTAAACTCAAATTACATTAAACATTGTGTAACAGTCAAATAGGAGATTTACAAATGCCTCAAGCAGATACTCAAGACTGGTCGCATCTGTTCCTTATAGAGAATGAGATTTGACCTGCAAGACTTCTTTTCCTAAGGACTGTGCTATAGGTAGTATGATTACTGATAACTCTTTGCAGAACACCATTTTAAATCTGTTATCATTGAGAATTTACAAATTAACCCAAGGATTATATGACATTATTGATCATATTTTTCACAAGTTTTTGAGTCAGTTGATTCTTTTTTAACATATTAGTTTAATCACACACTAGTGGGTTTGTTCTTTCACCAGTATACAAGTCAGTTACCAGGATATTGGATATTATGAAGCCTACCAGCTAGATACTGGTAGGATGCAGACAATATGGAGTTATATGACATCAAACCTAGCAAATAATCACATGAATGTATCATTATCAGCTCACGTTTGTGGTATGTTACCTTAGTAATGAATATTTTAAAGAACTTCTTAGTAACTGTGCCTATATATTGTGACCTGTTTTCAGAACCATTTAATGTCATAATAGTTCAATAATCAAATATATGCTTTTAGACATTATAGCCAGCCACAGCATTTATAGCTGTGCAAGCAAAAACGATACATACAATCTGTTCTCATGCTTTAAGATGAAGGGGAACCTGCAGATATCAAGAAAATACAGCATTATCACTGGTTCAATACAGCATGGGTTTTGAAGTAACAAGTATTTAATGATACATTACTGCAATTACATAGTATTCTTATTATATAATGTAGTAGTTGTTCTTATATAAGAATATGTCCTGCGACGTAATACAATAAACATTGAACTGATCTGTGCAGGATAATGCTGAGTATGTAGACTCAACCCATTTTTATGATGGCATCATCCAGTACAAAGACAGAACAAACCAGAGATCCTTTAGAGGCTATAAAAGAGCTTTCTTTTTCCGTATTTTTAAAATTAAGGGCAAAATCCTGGTCTCTACTGAGGTCAATGTCAATTTTACCATGGAAGCACGATTTCATTTCAAAGGAGAAAGCAGGAAGCTTTTCAGCATGCTCCTCTTGTCTCAGTTTTCTTCACTGGCCCAGGTTTTTCTGAATTAAGTCCTAGAATGACTTATGTGCTGACAGTAGTCAAGACAAATAATCTTTTTGCTGTACTTTGAAAGTGTTTAGCCTATTTTAGATCTCTAAAACGGATTGCATTTGTTATCTCCTTTCCTTTTTTGCCTTTCCCTTGTGTACCATATCCCTCAAAAAAGGTTTGGAGATCAGTCATCCCAAACATTTTATACTCAAGAGTGCTTAATTACCACTATGTCTGTCCACTGAGATCAGAAATGAGCTACACATCTTAATTCTGTTTAGATGTTTGTAGAAATATGTTCGTCAGTGTGTAAGTTTTATAACAGCCTCAGTGGGGAGAGATATATCATTATGATACTGCATAACAAGTCATCAGGACAGGGGCATGGGGCAGTTTTACCTATCAATGAGACAAGCTATTGTTTAAAGGTCAATTAAGTACAGGATCTGACATCTTCTCTGCCAAAGTAACATTTACGTTACCAAAGAGGGAAGTTTTGGCACTCCTGCTAAGGTATCACCAAATCAGTGAAACGTAAATATATTTTGGAAAGTACGATTGAATCTGCATTTCTCAAGGACCCTAAGAAAGAGGTTGCTGTAAAAGCTAACATACTTTACCAGCAAAGGTTCTCTCTGAGGAATGCAGCCTGAGACATAGAGCACATGAAAAGACAAAATTCCTGATGAAGTAGGTCAAGAAAATGCCCAGAGTAAATCAGTGGCATATAGGAACATTTTTTTAGGTTTGGTGGTTTTATAAGAAAATGAAATAAAATGTTTTGTTTGGTTTGTCTTTCCAAAAAAATTTCCATATGTTATATATAAATATTTTTAAGTTTGCTTTCAAACTAACTGTCTAGTATCAAGGCATTTTTTGATATTTTTCGTCTAAGAGTGTGACAAATCTAGATAACAAAGGCAGCGTGAGAGAGTCTTTTCCTTTCTCCTTACTGAAGATGTTTAAAAGGGAGAGTTAAGGACCAGAGAAAGTGGGCCATGTTGGCAATGTTGATTTTACACCATTTATGTGAATGTACAATTCCTTTCTAAAGGATAATCTTGCCCATTGTCCGTGTCTGACCTACCAGACTGCCAGCCGTTTTCGTCATTCCTAGCTATGGTTGATGGAAACCAGTACTGTGACCTTTCTCCAAAATTTAATTTTCACTTCCATTCTTCAGAATCTCTATGCTGAGCAACTTACATATTTTTTTAACATCAGTCTCCTAAATCTTTAGTTCATAGGGAATTTCAGAGAACAAAGAAGCCGTTGTTGGAGGCTAAGACACTACTCAAATCAGTTCAGATCTTTGCATTCAAATCAGTTGCCTGGAGACACCAATTTTTGATAATATAGAACCTAAATGTCCTGGTTTTGGGAAATGACGTGCTAGAGATGGGAAGGGAATCGTGTTGGAAGATGCCCAGTTAAGTTTGCAAAGTGTCATGAGAAACACAGATTGATGTTGTCTGTAAACCTAAGCATGCATAAGTTTAGCAGACACTTGACTATGTGATTGTATGAATACAGCATTAATGAAACATAGTCTTCTGAGGGAAAGGGACTGTCCTGTCTGGGTTAATATAAAGTCCTTGTTTTGCTTCTATAATTAATTTCATTTTATTTTCATGAACATTTTAGGTGTATCAATACATGCATGAAACCATAACTGTTAATGGCTGCCCCGAATTCCGAGCCAGGGCCACTGCAAAGGTAGGATACGTGCAACTGTTTAAATACGTGTTACCAAAGTGACCTAGTAATTGACTGTGCGCGTGTGTGTTTCAGGTATTCGTGTGTACACTGTAAGAAAATTTAGACATCAGTGGCAGCCCAGAGTCTAGAACCAGTGCTACTTCCCAGGTAACAATCATAATGGAAAATTTCAACCTTTATGCTGCTTCTGTAGCTTAAGAAAAGAGAATGATTTTATGGAATTTGATGCTTTTTGAAAAGTTGCTTTGCAAAAGCAAATCTACTGGCTCATTCTGTAGAAGTCTGCCTGCAACAACCAATATTTTAATGGACTATTTTCCCATACAGCTCATCCAGAGAGGACACAATGATTTGGGAGATAGAAACTAAACAGTCAAAATTCCACTTTTAACTAATGGCATCTGTAGGTACTGAGCAAGTGGTAAGGATGAACCGTGACAAAAATGGCCTGATCAAGAGACTCCACAGCCAAATGCAAGCCCATTTTTTCTGATGCATTACCTGTTTTAATAAAATATATTGTCTCTTTGTCCACGTGGACCTGCCTTTCTCATATTCTTAGACCATGACAGCTACATTACTGCTACTCCTAAAATGATAATTTTCTAAGAGAATTCACACAACCATGAAAGAACCCATTCTATGTGCCAGTATGAAATACGCTCTGTGTTTTCATAACATGCACAAAGATAGATGCTTCCAAAGAGGGAGATCCACCATGGCTTTCTTTTTCCCATTATCATTTTGTACTCAACACTATCTTCTGGGTGGTATAGCAGCTACTGTGCAAAATGGGTAAGCCTGCAAAAGCCATAAATCTTTTTTAGAGATATTTCTTTATGGTCCCACTCCTGTGAAGTTAGTGACAAAAATCCCTGAAATCCTAATGGAACTAAGATCTTACCATTATGTATTTATGTTAAGAGATTTTAATTTAAAGCTGTATCAGAAGATGAAGATTGGGAGTGTGTTACAAAATGATTTCTATAGTATTTTAGAGAAGCAAGCTGTATAATAGCCAGCAAATAACCTAATATACACTAAATTGCAGTGTATTTTCCTTACTAAATAGAACGTTCTTTTCTGTAGGCTGTTCTTCTGATTTTAACCTTCTTCTAATTGAAAGTTAATGGACAATGTAAATTTGTAAGGTCTATGGTTTTATATAGAGAAATGTGTATATGAAATCCTGATTTGTCTACACTGCAGGTAAACATCATAGAAATTATTGCTATGTTGTATAGTAAATGGGGAGCAGTCCAATTAGTGTTTGGCATTCTCATTTCTTATTCATATAGAACAGCAGGGTTACAAAGCAATGTTTCAATATCGCAATATTTCCTGGTTATTTCTGGGCTGTCTGCATTGCATTCTCCTAGTGCATTCATGTCTGACATAAAATGTATGCATGATGACAAGGTCTGCATGTGCAAAAACACGTAACTGAGAATGATCCATTATGTCACATCATCCACTAGCTTCTATTAAGCATAAGCATTATTAGGATGCTCAAAAAACATTAGCGTAATGTAAAATTGTTCGAGCAGTTTGGACTACAAACACAGTTGAAAACAATAAAAGATTTTCTTAACGCTTATTTAATGATTTACTAAGATCTATAAGTAGGAAAATACTTGTGAAAAATGAAGTATGATGTAATATTTTTCTGGATGCAAGCTTTACAGTTTGTTACATGGGATTTTTTGCTAGAGTAAGATTAACAATCTAGGATTTTTCTAATAGATTTACAAATCTATTGTCTTAAGATTTTATTTTCAATAAAAGTTTTGATCCAATTATAAAAACTCATATTCCTGTTCCACGAGTTATTTAGTTTGCAATATTTCATAGAGATTATAAATTAAACTTTATAAGAATATCCTTTCAGGTTTTTTTTCTGTGCCCAAAGAATAAAATAAATAATTCTGTAACTCTGAAAGCAGAGCAGAGCAGAGCAGAACAGTTCAGTTCATCCACTTTATTTCAACTAGGAACACAGCAGAGATCACATTATCTTATCCCACAGTAATAAATTTTCTCCCTGTGAAAAGGCAAAGAAGAAATGCACTAGCGATCATAAGTGTTCACCACCACGCAGTCAGGTTTCCCGGTGCCTACTTCTGGCTCTGCTGCTAACTTTCTGCATTATCTTTGACAAGTCACCTAAACTCTATTTCTCTGCTTATTCCTTTATTTCAAAAGCATTGGCATGGAACTTAATATTTTTAAAATGCTTTCAGGTAATCAGAAAAAGTCAGAGTAAGATACTGAAATGTTTTCACAGAAATGAATTCTTCCTGCAAATGAACAACAGAGTGTATATCCGTGTTTTCCCTAC